ATTAAGGGTTTGAATAAATTTGGTGTCACTGAAAATCACTGTCTTTCCTCTGGAAGTCATAGGGATAGTGTTTCCATTCCCTCTAGTGGTTCTGGCTTTCAAAATAGTGCTGGTGACTCGAGGAGCATTAACCAATATTTCTTCGAGAATGACAACACTGATGCAACGGGGAGGAGATAACAGGGTGTGTTAGATACCTGAAGCTTCTCAGGGGTTTGATGAAACTGCATGTATAGCACATCACCTATAAAGAACATGTGACCGTGGGAACTAGCTTGAACTGAAAACATCTCCCTTCCTAAAAATGGAAATACCACTCTGTTGTCATAAGAATAAGGATTTTCTAGCAGTAGTGTGTTAGAAGACTTGCCTGTACAGTCACTAATTATAGTAAATCAGCATGCCAGAAGGCACCAGTATGAAACTCCTGTTTGCTGCTAAGTGATAATTTATAGAAACAAACATAAGCTAAAATGCAGTGTAACATTGCTGTAAAATCTGTCCCTACTGTTTCCAGGAGGGGGAGTCAGCAAGCAGAAGCTAATTGGCAAGTCAAATAATAGGAAGTCCAAGTCTCCGATTCCTGGACAGGGATATTTGGGAACCGAAAGACCTTCTTCTGTCTCATCTGTACATTCAGAAGGGGACTACCACAGACAGACTCCAGTGTGGGCCTGGGAAGATAGACCTTCATCAACAGGTGAGAAATGGGTTGCTTTCAAAGTTAACAAACCAGTTGTGGTATTTGTAGAAAGGTCAGATGTAGACATACTGTAACACTGGTATATTGATCAAAAAGTTACAGCACATAAGGATTTTCTGAAAGAGATTTTCTGCTGGTTGTCACAGCCAAAACCAGACTGTCTTTCAGATACAGATCTCTTAGAACAGCTCATGTTTTTGACTTGGAGAAATACTCTTTGATTCAGGATCAACACAGTTTCCTTACAACCCGTTGACGATGAGGATGCTCAGCAGTACACCGCCAACGTCCATTGCGTGTGCCCCACCGTCCATGAGCCAAGCAACCACTCACCAACAGAACAGGATATGGGAGCGAGAGCCTGCACCACTGCTTTCAGCACAATATGAGACTCTGTCTGACAGTGATGACTGAACTATGCAGATTTTTTTTTTTTAATTTGCGGGTCAAAAAAAGAAATCTATTTTTGACTTGTGCCCACAGAGACTTTCCAAGAGAGCAAGGGCCACACAATGAAGAATTGATGGAGAGTCCGTTAAATGCCTTCTGCACAGGTCGTGTGTTGGAGGATTGTTATCAAGAAGGTTGACTTACTAAAGATAAATATGTAAAGAGTTTTTAAAAATGTGGACTATTCCTGTTCTACATCTATTTGTAAAGAAAACCATAATGTCTTTAAATCATTCTTCTGTAAATAGAGAGTACTTTTTGCAGTGTTTTTTCCCTTGCTATAGTATCTGGTGTACTTATGTTCAAATCATTGCCTAAACTTTGGGGGTCATTTTGTAATTTTTTTTTAAGCATTTTCTTCAGTGTAGAGTACTCTTCATAACGCTAGCCTCCCTACCAGCCTAGCCTAACCATAACCCTAGCCTCCCAACCAGCCTAGCATCATTACCCATTTAATGCCGTGGCACTTCTTGCAGGCATTGTGCTTTTATATAATTTTTTTTCCCTAGACACACTTTCTCAGTGGTGTTCAAGCTCTTGTGCAAATGTTGATTTTTTAAGACTGACCCCTTAATGAATTCTGTACATTAACATAGTCCGGTTCGCTGGAATAAGATGATATATTTCTTTGAATTTTAAATTCTGCCACATTGTAAATTTTTGGTGCAGTTGGTTTTATTTAGCAACACTGCAGAAATATTATTGCATGGGTATGTTATGGTTCATTTTTAAAAGGAAAAAAAAAAGGCAAAAAGAACAGCTTCTGGAGGCATACCTCACTGTTATGCACACTGGGAATTTTAACTGTGCCCCAAAAGCCTATTTTAGTTTTCTGTTCTGCATTGTGTGCAGTAAAAACAGGCTACTAAATTTTACTGTCATATTTAACCACATCAGATGGCTTATCTGAACAGAGGCTCTGGGTGGGCTGATAAATCCTTTAAGAAGAAAAACCTCTACATCCCAAGTTTAAATAAAACAAAATGCTTTTACAGAATAATTGAGCAACACGTGAGTCAACTACTTGGCTTCTGTTATAACCAGTTTGAAATAGGTACTGTGATTTTTACCTTCCTCCAGTCTGAATTTAAAATCATTATGTAATAATTGTTTTAAAGTCTGTGTCCCCATCCCAGTCCCTAGCCCTATAAGCAAGCTTTTGGTGGAAGTCCTTACAAATGCTTGGCTTAACTCCTAAAGTGTGCAATACTTGTTAGGGTGATTTTTCTTTTTTTAATAGTATATGGTACTAGGAGAGTCTCCTTAATCACTCATCTATCAATGCCTGCGATGATATGCTTCTAGCTCATGTATACATACATCTGGTTAGTGGTATCACAGGGTGTCCTGACATCCATCTTCAAGAGCATCTTATTTTTTGCTGCACTGACCTCAGGAAGTGAATTTAAATCTTCCAGGGTAGAAGGACTGATTTACAGATAGCACTGAGTGGAGGGGTGGCATGGTCTGTCAGATTCCAAACTGCTTTTGCATCTCATTGATGAACAGAGTCTTTGCCTTGAAGCTATTTTCCAGTCAAAATCTTTTTAACACTGTATTTGCAGTATGCTGTATGGAGGGTGTCATGTAGCTGTATAACCTTAAGCCATGTAAGCTCTACATCTGATGGAAGGACTGTAATGGTCCAGTTACGAACAGGAAGAAGTACAGAACTATTTATCAATAGCAAATTTACTTTGACTACTTTAGAGGAAAGCCTTTTTGCCCTACATATGGGAAAGAAAAAAATCCAAAGGAACTCATTTGGGAACTTGACACTGTGTTGCAAATACAGAATTATTTTGCTACTTTTTTAAAACACTGCATCAGAGTAGAGCAGTTGGCAGTCTTAAATCTCCTTGCAGTCTTTCTCTAAGAAAGAGTTTTCTCACCCTCCTGTCCTTTACCCTTCTGGCTTAAAGCAGTGAAGTTTTCATCCTGTTTGTAGACCTGTGCTCTCATTTGAACTTTTTTGTTCCCACAGCAACATATACTGGAAACCAACTTGATTTGTCCTTTTTGTAGACTTAAATTTGGAGTGGAGAGTTAAGTTCCATTCTAAAACTCACTTGTTCTTACTTTCTTAGGGTAACAAATACAACGTGAAAGAGGCATGTACAGACAAATGCCTTTGCTAACTGTACAGTAAGTAGAGCATGTTCATTGCAAAGCTTCATGTTATTGCTGCTGCAGCAGCAAGATATCCAAAGTAGGGTAGTCACTTTCTAAGATACAGCTTTAGTGGCATTTGCACATAAAATGTTGCTGCTTTTTTGTTTTGTTATCCGAGTTCTAACTTCTCCAGTGTAAAAACCTCTCCAGAGCCTAAGTTAGGGTTTACCACAATTCCAGTAATCTTCAAGTATGGAATTACATCTGACCTGCTTCAAACAGGAAGGTGTTTGTAAATCATGTTTACAAAGTGTAGTTTACTACAAATTTTTACCTGATTTCTGGTCAGCGTTTTCACAATGCTTTCATCTTATATATGTTTCGTGATTCTGATATGAAATCATTTAAGACTTGAAAAACCCACGCATCATAAAACTCAGCTTTTTTTTTTTTCACACAATGTCTTCAGTAGACAGTGACTTCTGGATTCAGACCAATCAATAAAGGGGATCAGTTCTCCATTTGCTTTTCCTGTGTCTCCCTCTTGTTTTGCAGCATCAAGCTGTGTTCCTGAGAACAGGCAAAACGCTTCCCTTAGGGGGTGCTGCAGGGTTCCCAGTTAACACTGCTGGTGTGTCTGAGGTCTGCCACTTGTAAAAAACAAAACCCAGAACTTTAAAGATTGTCTCTGATGTGTTAGAGCCTTTCTGTTAGTACAAGTGTGCCTGTAGCAGCCATAATTTTACTTCCTAGCTTGCTGAGAACAAAGCTGTATATGTGACTTGAGATTTTCCAGCTTCAGTGAACATCTACTCTGGAAGACCTGCGTGCCTCTTCTTAGCTCGAAGTTAAGCAGAGCTGAAGCCACTAATGCTGCTGTAAGTGAAGTAATAATGATGCAGTTAACATTACGGACTGTACCAACCAGCTGAAATGCTGACAAATGAGAGGTTAAAATAATGCTTGGTTAGTGACAGAATTACAGTTAGTTCTACTATCCTAGCTAAATATGGATGTGGTAACTTCTGCTTTAATTCTCCTTTAACATTAGGCTTCCCTGCAGGGCAGAACTGAAAAATTTCTGGTTTATAAGCAGGCTGTTCATACTAGATTCACATGAAGGCATGTAACTTACCAACCTGATAGATTGTACATACCATCTTTTCCAACAGGAAGCCTCAGCATTCTAGCACTGACCTATCCAAGAAAGGAGGACAGCTTTGGCACTTGGTGTCCTCTTGACTGGGGTAAGGTAACAGAGTGTTTTATTTTTGACAACAGCTCTGTTTTGGTAACAGTCTCACCCCTCCTCTGAGACAGCATGTTCTATCTTTGGATACTAAATGCTTTGAAGAAAAACACTTGATCTTCAGGCAACCTATCTGAAAAGGACATGGAGCTACAGCTCTGTCATAGTACAGGTATAGTCTGGGAAATGCTCTATGGAAGTTAAAACATACTGAATGGTAGCACTGACAAAAGCACACCCTGTTGGGCTAGCCAGCATGAAAAGGAGAATTCCTGCCTGTTCTCTTTTTCATGACTGAGCTTTAGTTTAGACATGTTTTGAAACTGAATACTTCTGTGAACAGTCACGAGTAGCAAATGACTACTCCTTGATTTAACTGCAAGGATTAATACCGGGCTGCACTTGCACTTTGCTGGCAGTCAAGACCAAGTTAAATCCCTAGCACAGTAGGTGACTAACCATGGACTACAGCACAAATTTACATAGTTAAGATTTCACAACTTTATTTTGGGCTAAGTTGTTAGGCAATAGCAGCCCTTCTTGTTAAGCAGTCCTTAAACTCCTCATTGGTGTGCCTGGGGAGAACTGCAGCAAACTGGTCCCAGGCTGCTTGTACTGACCAACCCGTGCTGCTGTCAGCCACCTCGAGGCTGGCCTCTGTGGCCAAACTCATTTGGAGCCCTTTCTCCTCTTGGCCAGTTCAGCTAGTTCTTCCTGGATATGCTGGACAGAAGCAACATCTCCCTTTTCTTGTGCCTGCTTGAGGGCTTCTTTGTACACTTGTTTTGCTTGCAGAAAGTCTTCTGTAGCAAGAGGAAAAAGTGCCATGGCTAACTAACTATATTGTCCATTTTTCAGAGCCTAACCCCAAGTCAGCAGACCTGCTTAAGCTACAAATAGCAACACAAAAATAAAACTACAGTTCAATCCTACATCTGCAGTCAGCACAGGCACAGTGACATAGGCTGGATATGATTTACTTACCTTTGTGCATCAGAATTGCTGCCAGGTTATTCAGCACCATGTGCTCCTCTGGGTGTTGGGTCTCCTTTGCCACCTCAGCTGCCTTCTTCACGTAGGTGTATGCCTCATCGTAGTACCCCTGAGCATCCAGTACAGTTGCTAAGTCATTCATCAGGACCACAGTCTGCACCAGGACAGAAAAGGAAGCCTCAGAGCAAGACTTGTGTACAAGTCTGGGGCAGCAGGATCACCACATTCATACCCCTGTCCCACTGGTAAAGTAGTATTTCCCCGAGAAGCTTTCAGTAAGAAAGTGCCTTATATTTATATGTCAGCATGCTGTGTGCTCATTGTTCCTGGCAGGAAAACAGAACCGAATTTAGTGCTGGGTTTGTCCAATGCCAGCAAGGCTGCTTTTAAGGCTGCCTCATTCCCTTTTTTTTAGTAGTCCAACTACCATTGTACACGTCACCTGTGGATGAGTCTCTCCCTGAACATCATTTGATATCTGCAGAGCCTTCTCATACATTTTTTGGGCCACTGGGAGCTGGTTAATGTTTTGGAGATAGCGAGCATAGGAGTCTAGGCTCATCCCAAGCAAGAGACGGGTGTTGGCCTTTTCTTCAGCTGCAAATAGAGAGGAGTGGAAGCAATCACTTCAAGATCAAGCATGAGTCTCCATTCTACGAGAGTGGGAAACTCATGCAGTGTGAAGGCAATGAATTGACACGAAGATGGTGCTTGGGCAATATGGAAAGCAACATCAAGGACAGGGAAATGGAGAAAAAATAATGAGAAGCCTTTGGCAGACAAAGCAGTCCCACCTGGTAAGACATCCTCAGGCAAGTCTTTTTGCTTGGCAATCTTCTCTTCTAAGGTCAGGATGCAGAACTCATAGCCAGCCAGGGCTAACTTGTGCCTGCAAAGTACAACAACTGAGCAAAGCAAGGCTCCTTCCATCCCTGAAGGGACACATGAATGCCTTCAATCCCTCATTCTAGATGGCCTAAAAGACAGCTTCTCCCCTCAACCAGACCCTTCTTGCCCTCAGTGCTTTCTTCTTGGACGTGGCCTGGACCCTTCTCTTGACCCATGAGCAAAGGGATCCAAGAGGTGGAGAGGGCCCTCCTCCCCCCAAATAAGGCCAGCTAAGGCAACCCCTGCCAATGCTCCATTGAAAAAATGAAGTTAACAGCCACCAACTGCTTCAAAAGCCCTTCTCTTCTGTGAGATGAAGATTTAAGACTGAAGAGTGATGTCCTCTATGGCTACTTCTGCCCTAAGCTGGGCAGATCATAACGGCAATCACTGCGCTGCATGACAGCGGGCAGGCAAATATCACACCTGTAGGAGCCTTTATGTTGATGGCACCTTGTCACATTAAAGCTTCCTCAGGCACTCTATTGTTAAAGAGCCTCTGCTTGGCCACCACTGCCACTGTGAAGCCGAGATTAAAGCAAAAGATGCCTTTAGCAGGGAACTCACTGTTTCTGAGCAGCATAGATACTGGCCAGCTTGAGGGACATCTCAAGGATTGCATTGTCATCCTGCCAGGAGGACACACAATGCAACTGTTATTCTTCTTGCATCTCCCCAGTAGAAACATTACTTTGCCAGAGACCAAGATTAGACCTTGAAAATGCCCATCCTGGTGTCTCCAGAGCTGCTGTCCCCTTAAAAGAAGTTCTTGAGAAGCCAGCAAGCTCATAGCTAATATTGCCAGCTTCCAGTAGGAGGTATTACAGCACAAGAAATAGACCAAAAAATTGTCAACACTTCCCCCTAAAAGCCTTTATCAGAAGAACATACCTCTTTTGTGTCCCCTGCAAGCAAATAGCTCATACTTGCTTTGTAGAGCTTTTCTGCCTGAAATGAGAATTTTGAAGAGAATATTGTGGGATGATGGCACTTAAAACAAAAGATCTCTACCCTTTACAGAGGCAGACTACTGGAAGAAACCTGTCTCACAATTTGTGAGAATGATCTTGTATGTCAAAACCAGTTAGAAGTGAAAGGCTAACCAGAGCCCAATGCTACTGCCAACTCGTAGGGTCCTTTCAGTTTCTACTTCAGGACTCCTGCACCAGCCATGACTTTACCACAGCTGTGTGCCTTCAGGGCTTTTCCAGACTCTCCTTGAGACAGCCATCTAAGTGCTTGACTGTGGCATTTGACATTTAACTGTGAAAGCATCTTTCTTAGCAGCATGTTGTCCATGGGACTGCAATCCCAAGGCAGATTATTCTGCTTTATACTGGGTGGTCTCTGCCTCACAACTCTCAGTATGCAGCTTGTCACAGCATGCCACATCTTCAAGATCCTGCACAAGATGTCAGCCTCTTAAAATTCAGAGAGAAGAAAACCAGAGTTACTCACATTGTCCAGCTGTCCCTGCATGAAGGCCACGTTTGCCATCTGGAAGAGACAGACAGTGCTGAAGCTCCACAAAGGCTGCAGGGGCTCGTCCCAACTCAACTGCTCTTCCTTCTACCTCCAGCTCCACCGCAGCCCCAGCCTCCGGCACAACGCCGGAACTGCAGCCCCGCAGCAACTTCCAGCACGATGCCATGGGCCAGCACAGAGCAGGAGGGCACCCAACCTGAGCCCCACCACCCCCCTGGCCCCTCACCATGCTGTAGGTGTAGATGATGGCTTTCCTGTTATCCGACTGGTGCGACAGCTGCAGGGCTTGGTGCAGAATCTGCTCAGCCTCCCCCAGCTCACCCTTCATGACGCTGAGCTGCAGAGAGAGGGGAGACCTTGGAGCAGCTTCCTGTGCTGAGGGGGAGGCTCTGGATCAGGGGCTGTAGCGACAGGACTGGGGGGCATGGCTTTCAGCTGAAAGAGGGGAGATCTACATTGGATATGAGGAGGAAGTGTTTTCTTCTGCGGGGGGTGAGGCAGTGGCCCAGGGTGCCCAGAGAAGCTGTGGGTGCCCCATCCCTGGAGGGGTTCAAGGCCAGGCTGGATGAGGCTTTGGGCAACCTGGGCTAGTGGGAGGTGTCCCTGCCCATGGCAGGGGGTGGCACTGGATGGTCTCTAAGGTCCCTCCCAACCTGAACCCTTCTGTGATGCTGTGACACCCTCCGGGGCCGGTCACCGGCCGGGGCCCACCCGTGACGGCTCGGGCCCCGCTGAGGTAACACCGTCCCCCCGGCGCCTCACCTTGGCTCTCTTCAGCAGCAG